CATCGAAATCCACTCTTACCACAGCAACATGCACGCCAAACCAGCAACATCCCAGCTTTTTTTTTTCTTAGGGTAGTGTATAAAGTAAATCAGTCTCCTGCGCCACAGCCATCACATGTGAAAACGACACCATCCCCACCATCGCAGCACCGCACCGCCACACTTTGGAGGTGTGTGGTCCCGAGCACAGACAGACCAGATACCCAACTCACGACATGGGTCACCCAAAAAGCCAAGCAAACCCAAAACTGCTGCAGATGCAACATCAAGGACCCACGATGTTGCCCAAACGGGTCAAAAGAAAAAGGGGTTCGCCTTTTCCAGTCCCCATCCCACCCCGTGGGCATGGGCATGGGGGGTGTTGAACTCACAGACCACTGATAAGGGTAGCTTTGCGCTTTTACAGCTCTACTTTCCAGATGCTATGGAGATCGCCTTGTAGCTAATCTACTCAGGAGAGGACACATTGGCAGTCACTTTGCAGCGTATCGTGGATTGATTCATGGTATTGATTGATTATCCCTTCATGACTCTGAATTTCTTTCCCACTGGTATTCTGATACTATCTGTATTTTGACAAAAAAAAGGTCCTGCTCCTCCGATAAACCCTCCAAATCCCTCCCTGCTCATGAGGGGGGAAGGGGGGGGAGAGAGGATTTTAAAAACAAACAAATGGGGCCGGCGGACATCCCTAGTTTCATAAAGGGCGGAGACGAGAATCCGTCCGCTCCCGCCGTCGGGGTGTGGAAAGTGCCCTTTCTTCAACTCCGATGCCATGAATGGTATGAATGGAATAATAAAATCAGTAAACAGTCTAGAATGCCAATGCCGTGCAGTGGGTTGTGTTTCGAAAAGAAGAAGAAAAAGAATGCTCCTCCAGGCGTGGAGCAGGCCTACTTCCACAGATGCAAAAAGCCGCCATCTTGCCCTGTCTTTCCGAATGCAGTGATGAAGGTGTGACAAGCAGACGGGCCTGGTACCCGTTGCAAGAACCCGAATGCAAAATAATCTAGATGCTCCGAATGCTCCTCTAATTTTGTTGTGGTTTGGAACGCCGATGTGATCATGAAAGAGGTCGAACAGGGTCCTGGTTATCTCCTCCAACCCCAGAAGCCTCCCGCCGCGGGCGCGGGAGCTGCTGCGGCGGCGGCTGCTGCTGCTGCTGGGGCGGGCGTCGGCGTGGCAGGCTTGACGGGCTCTGCCGCTGCTCCCGTGAGGCGACCAAATACGCCCATGGCCGCTGACGCTGCCGCTCCTGCCGCCGTTGCTGCAGGTTGTGCCTGTGCTGCCTCTCCAGTAACGAGGCTGTATGCCTTTCTTAAGCTCTCAAGCTTCTGTTTCGTCTCTTCGGCCTCTTGCCTGGCGATAGCTTCGGAAGTCTTGGCCTGCACGAGCTCCAACAGCAACGCCTCGTGCTGGTCATCCGTCGGTGGCGGAGCCGGCACGGGAGGCGGCGCCTGTGTAGCCGGTGGTGGCGTCGAGTCGTGAGGCTTCGGCATTGACGAGGAACGCTTGCTGAATATCGATCCAGCTTGGGACGGGGTTGACTTGCTCCTACCAAGCTTCAACTCTCTCAAGCCGCTCGCACCACTAGCAGAACTCTTCCTCACAGGCGAATCACCATCGGGCTGAGTATTACTCTCCGCACCGGCGGCGGATGCCCGCGCTCTCATCGTGTGTATTTGCTTCTCCAGTCGCTGTTTGTCCTGGTGCAAGATGCGTGTATGCGAGTGGGATTCCCGCACTTGATCCTTAAGTGTTGTAATTTCTTGTTCTAGGTCGTGCATTTTTCGGTTGTAGTCCTGAGACTGTGATACCGCGCTGGCGAGCTGGTCCTTGAGTTGCTGCAATTCCTGTTGCATTTGCGATTTGGATTCGCCTCTGGACATTCTGCGTTCGACGCCGACGCCGCCATGGCGCCCAAATCGTTCTTCGACATTATCGAGGAGTTGTGATAGGTCTCCTGGTGACGGGGTATCTTGCTCGCCTGTCTTGGCAGTGGACACATCTCCCTCGCCTCCCTCGCGTGCCTCATTTGCGGGGTCATCGGTCGCCTTGAGAGTATCGACGCTCGCATCGGTACCGACAGAGTCGTTGCTGGCCTTCTTGCGCAGACCGTCCAGTAGCGACCGGACAGCCTGCTTATCGTCCTCGCGCTGTTCCCGTTCCTTTTGGAGTTCGTTTGCGAGCGATGCATGGTTTCGTTGCAATTCGGTCAATGCAGTGAGGAGGTCTTCGATCTGGGTGTGCAGTGCATTCTCCTTGTTGTTCTTGCCGCCATTGAAGGCCTTGCCGCCGCTAGGGATGGGCGTCGATTCGCGGATGGATGCGCTGTCGGTGTTTGATGAATCTCGGGAGACGGTGGTGGCTTCGGTGGATGCAGAACTGAGAACGCTGACGGAGCTGGCTTCCATCGAATTGAGAGTGGAGGCCAGGCTCTGCTTCGATGTGCTCCTGCGCAGCATGCTCAAAGGCCGTGACGGAGCGGTGAGGCCCGGGCTGAGGGTGGAGGAGGACTTCGGGGAGATGATGGTGGAGGAAGCCCAAATGCGGCCGAGGAATCGGGAGGCTGCAGTGGTCACGTCGGAGGAACGCGCCGCATTAGCGCTAGCAATTTGCGCGTCTCTGTACCCCTGCTCCAACTGTAGCAATGTCTCTCTGGTGACAACGCCCGATAAACTGACAAAGTCCTGCACAAATTCATCTGCGTTGTAATGGTAGCAATCCCACAGACCCCTCGAAAGGAGAAGTTGCATGACATCCTCGAGCTCGGTGCACGCTAAAATCCGGGCCTGATTCTTCTGCATCAGGGATAGGGCGACCCGCATCAGGGTCTCCGGGGCCCCCTCGGCAAAGATGACATCGTAGATGCGAAACAGCATCGGCAGGGGACATGTAACAGCAAAAAAGCTGAGGAACCATTGTGAAACGTACGCCGGATCGACTTGCAATTCGTCCAGATGGTTCGATACTGGTGTCATGTGCTCTCGAAGAAGCTCTCGAAACTGGTAGATGCGGACATGCAGTCCTGACAGGTCTGGCAGGAAACAGCTTCGCAGATCATATCGTTCCATCAATCTGCCCATCTCAACATGTTAGCCTCAACGTTGCATGTGCATTTGCATCGAAACCTTGTTTTGCTTATTCTCTCGGACCCCTTTTCCCAGGAAATCGGGTGAGGGGGGCCGGGCGGCTGGTCGGGTTTGCTTTTTGGGATTTTGACACGTACCGGACTAAAACACAAAATGCCTGTTTATCGGGCATGTGCATCAAGAGAGGGCCAACAAGAAAAGCCAGCCCTTGACAGTAACCAATTTTCGTATCGTAGAGACTGAAGCATTTGAGAACCCGGCCGAGCATGCGTTGTCCGTCGCCCTCGGGGTCGCGAAACATGTCGACTCCAGGGAAACTCCGACCGAGGTCCTTGCCGATAATGGGCTCGTAGGGACTCGACTCGCCCGTGAATCGCTCGTACTGCTCCTCGAGTGCGGAATCTCTTGCGCCTGCCATGCTTTGCCATACAACGCCTCGTAGCGGAGGGGGGATGCCTTTGCGTATCTTGTTCGATAGAAGCGTTGGCAATCGAGCTGCCGTCTGTTGATAGTCCTTGACCAATGCGGCGTAAAACTCGAGATCGGTCATTGGTGGCGGCGGGAGCATCGAGTATCGCAAGGCCGGTGGTGTTGGCCCGTGGACCATGTGTCGTAATTGTGCCATTGATGGCGGTCTCGGGCGATTGGAAGCGGCCACTTGTTCCACGGCTTGAACTTTGATGGTCTTGGGGTTCGTCGCCAACTTATCGTTTTCCTGCTCTAGCATGGCCAGCAACATGGCTGTAGACTGGGAACTGTGAGCCTCGACAAAGTTGCTGTTTGAGTAGCCACAGGATGCACTTACTCTATCTGTATCCGCGTCCCTAGGTTCTTGTGCTTCGGATTTCTGCAGTTCGTCCCAATTGACTTCCTCCTCGTCCTCTTCTTCAGCTTCGTCCACCACGGGCCTCTTAAATTCTATGGGCGTCTCGAGTAGGGTTCCCCTAGCTGGTAGTGAAGTGATGCGGTCTCCCTCTTCTTCGGCCTCGTCCTCGCAGTCCACAAGCTCGTCTTGAAGGTTCCGAGTAGCGTTCGTAACAGGTAACGGCGTCGTAGGGTCGCTGGGTGGCGTGTCGTCGGTCTCGTCCTCTGGCTGATTCTGAGTCTTGACCTCTAGCGTCTCTGTCGGGAAGGGAAGCTTTTCAATCTTGACAGTGCTAGGTCTCCTCCTCGGGGGTGAATCGGGGCCAACATTGGTGTCGAGGGTCAGAGTAGGCGGCTCGGAAAGCCTGACAGTGACCATGGAATCGTGGGCCAACATCTTGGGCGTCGTCTCCCGGTGGTCGTCGTCGTCTTGGTTGGCGTTGGCGTTGGCGGCAGCGGGTCTCGTGTCGGGTTTGGCATGCGTCAGCTCGGTGTTGTGGTCGACCTCATCCCGTTGCTGCAGCGCCAGGTCCATGGCCAGGCCGCCCGGCTGCTTGATTGGTGTTTTCGCAACAAGAAACCACAGTAGGGACTGGAATGTGGACTCGTCGAAGGTGATCCTACAGTATGCGTGTAGGACGGTCAACGACGACAAGTGCGCGCGGCCGTGGCCCTGTTTCCAAGACTCATAAAATCGCAGGCCAATCTCGTCTCTCGACAAGTTTCCCGAATTCGAGGCTCGATGTGGTTCAACGTTCTCGGTGGGCGGCTCGCGAGCCCAAAGACTGTCGTACCCAATGAATTGCGTACGGGGTAGGGGAGGAGGGCGAGCGGCAGGAGAATGAGTTGAACAGCCACAAGCAATGCGGATGATCAGGGATGTGCACAAGGTTGGCAGCGGTAACACAGCAAGCAGAGAGAGCAAGACTCGGTGCGGGTGGTGGTTGTGTCCAACAAAGTGACTAGCTGGCTGCTGCTTGCTGCAACGGCGGGTGGGTGTGGCTTTGGGTCCCGAAATATCTCCTCCAACGGTTTCCTTGTTCAATGGAGAGCCAGGGGGTATCGAGTAACGAACGACACGGCAGCGCAGCAGCGGGAGGGGAAAAAAAAGAAAACGGGGGGGAATCCACAGATGGGCAGCCTCCTTGGAAGAGCCGCGAGCGAAGTCGGGGGGAGGATGATGAGTAGGTAAGCCTGGAACAGTCGAGAGGGCAAAGGGCGAACTTTGAGGGATTGAATGGGAACTGGAGGGAGAACCGGGAGCTTGGAAGAGTCAACCTGGAAGAATCAAGAAAGGATTGGACGGCGACAGGAGGGGATTGAGATTGGGATTGGGCCTGCAGGCGTGTCAGTCAACTCGGTCAAGTGCTCCTGTGGTTATGTCGTTTCATCGAGGAGCCAAGGACGCTGAAACGCTGGGGTGGGCGGCCCAGGGTAGGTGGATGCCGATGGACTGGCAATTGCAGCCTCTCGAATCTCCTGGATAGCATCTCAGTCTATTCTTGCAGAGTACTCCGCAGGGCAGCAGCGGGCAGCTTCTCCCTCTGTAATCCGTAGGTACTTCCTCCACTTGCACTTTGAATTTATGACTACATACAGGCCCTGTGCCACCGGGAGACGTGGACTTGGGAAGGGGGAGGCGGTCACTGAAAGACACGAACGAGAGAAAGAGGCAGCCACAGCTGAGCAGTCAGGCAGTGGCAGTTCAGACGTTGCCAGGGCCAAAGAGTTCGCCTATTCTAGCGCGGATAGCTTGGGAAGCTCGAGTGTGGTTTAGCTAAGATCACCGCGGATACCAGGTGGCGTTTGTTTCCAAGCCCGGTCGATCCCCAAGGTCTTGGTGGCGGCTTTTTGGTGGTGGTGTTGCAGCACGGAGTAGTGGTCTCACGGGGTAGTAAAAAAGTCTTGGTCTGATGGGTAGGCACATACGAAAGAATGCGGGATGTGCGGCAGGGGGCAAGGCAGAGGGGTGATGATCAGATGAGATTGGGTTGCGTTGGCAATGGGGATTGGGCGAATCTCGACTGGTCTGGAATGAAGTGAGCGGTCAAAGGGGGACTCGGGAATCCATGCTGGGGAAAGGGAACTACCTTACGGATAGATGATACCTAGAGCCCTGCTGTGGCATGTTCTTTCCACTTGCATGCTTCCCTTTCATCGTTTGAGTATGGGATTCAATGGTCACATCACAGGGCGGTCATGAGAGAAAGGGAGCTCGCAAACAAGATACTACCTATGCATGTACGAAGTGTGCCCACGGATGACTATTGCCTAGAATGCAGCTAGGCAGCCTCGGACGCCATGGAGGGAGTTGACAAACGACGCGATGCCCGGGTAAGAAGCGTTTTAATTGATGACAACATTTTCATATGAACCGGATAGCAAGAGAGGGGAACTCAATTTCCCAAGGGGGCGGGCACCGGGGGTAAGGGTTCACAAACGAAAAACCGCGAATCCCACGCGCTCATTCGCCCTCTTGTCTGACGTGTAACCCGGGAACTGTTTACATCACTTCGCCGCTCGTCACTCGCCTACCTGGGTATCCGTACCTCGCTTGATCATGAACAGCATCAATTGTACGGAGTATGGCAATTCCTATCACCAAACCCCCTATTTCTAGCACCAACGGTCAAAAAGGATCAACACCGCCAACGAAACAAAGGACCAATAGCTATCTATCTGTTAGACCGTGGCTGGCCAGACCAACCCAAGAGAAAATACAACAAACCATCTCGAAAGCTCGGACGAAATTAGCAGCAAAAAGAGGCACGCGTGGAAAAAAAAAAAAAAAAAAGCAGCCACTTTCTGCAAGGTACGGGACCGCTAGCACCCGTCAGCAATCCAATCACGGGCCATGCCCCCCCCCCCCTCCTGCAAGCTGCAGCACACCTGCACAGAAACAAGCTTCCACGCGTGCTGCACGACGGCAGGCACATTTCCGTCATCTCCCAACCCATCCTCCAATCCAGAGTCCAACCTCTACGAAAGAGAAGGCTGCCTCGATGGCCCGCCGAATGACAAGCGCTGGGATTAAACACGCCGGCGGGGAGCTTTCGGGTTCCACTCTGTTCATCATTTCGTGATTTTTTTCTCTTCCCTCCTCCCATTTGCCGGGTATTACCGAGTACCCAACCGCATCCACAAACGCCCAGCCCAACGAGCGGTCCAAGGGGGTCCTTCCTCGGCTTCAGCCTTCATACTACAGTGACTTCACAGCATCCGTAAACCTGTCGGATATCCACGATCCACAAGTGATGTACACTTCGTAGACAAGGCATGGTACGCATACACACAACATGCGTATCCGCGCAGGTAAAGAGAATGCCATCACTACGTATCTCCGCTGCCTAAACTCTCAATATCGCCACCATGAGACTTTCTTGCATTTCCGAATTCCATGTACACACAGACACTACGGTTCAGATCCCGTAGCTTCCATCCAGAGTCTGCATATCCCAAATCCTTTTTCATAACGATGGGACAGCAGAGGGGGGGGGGGGGGCAGTGGCACCGTACCATAGCTCCAGCCCACGGCCCTTCGGAAACCCCACAGACGTGTAAGAGTATGCCATTCACTCGGGACAGACAGCGTCAGATACAAAACCTACCGTGGCGCGGGATTACGAGGTTCTCCTTACACCACCTGCCTGTCGTCCTTACGCAAGCCCCAAGCGCACCTCTCCATAGACCTTATAGATAGAGATATGTTGGTATCGAGAGATTATCGTATACATAAGATATATCTCGATCTATCCTAATACGATCGTGAATATCATCCAAGTCAAGACAATTCGATGGTGTTGGCACATATGCCTCTCTCTCAATGATACACATCCATGAATGACTTCATCGCGTTGTGTTAGTTAATGTCTGTACAACCGCAGCAAACCGCATAGAATGGCACGGCCGTCGATGAAGCTGTCTCGGTATCGGTTGTCACCGGCCCGAGTCAAAACATATCCGATCCTGGGGTCGCGAGGATCCAATAAGCACACACATCAGTGACAATTCACAAGACAACATAGCGCCTGCCCTTTGACTATCCAATCTTCAATTCGTCTCATCCACCTCTTTCGAGCCAATGTGCTTCCCCTATGCCGACCTATATAACACACAGTATGCCGCAACTCCATCGGCTCCAAAGAGTATAGTCTATGCAAACTTGGCTGACGGCCTCCTCTAAATCCATCAAACGCCGCGCGATTGCACCTCGTACAGCTCCAAACGCAACAAAGTTTGTAGCGGACATCTCCAGCTATGGCTCTCCAACGTAGAGGGCGCCAGCGGGAGAACCCGCCACCCGCGCCAAAAACTGTGACTTATTTTTCTTTTATACATCTCCCTAGGGTCCTGAACACCACCATGTTACCCAATGGCCGAGTCCGATCCATGCCGCTTCCTCACGCCTTGATCATGATAGAGACATGCCCTGCTGCTGATGTGCTCCGGGCATGTTCTGCATTTGCATGGGCCGTTGAGCTTGAGCCATGGCGGGGCTCGCGTGGTGGCTCGGCGGCCGCTGACCTTGTCCCTGCTGCCCCGGTTGACCCTGAGGGCGGCCCGCGGCCTGGAACGGTGGCTCCTTCTTGGGGTCCGCATTTGGAAACAGCGCTTGAAGCTTTCTGTACAGCTCAGATAGGTATTTGGATCGTTCCTCGCGGTCTGTCATCGGGTCTGGATTGTTCTCGGGAATGTCGCCTGGCGGAGTTGAGTTTCGGATCTTGAGCGCCATATTCAGTGGCGGGGAGGACAGGTAAGCGGGCGATGGAGGAACCTGGACGTTTCCCTTGCGATCGGCCAAAGCGGCTAGGTATGCGAGATTCGCTTGAAGTCGTCGCATGCAACTGTGAAGAAAAGTGTCAGTATTCCTTTGTTTTCCATCTCATGTCTGTCTTAGTGACTTACTGGCTGTAGTCCTGCTGAACCGACCCTTCTTCTTGGGTCGGTTTCCTCGCCTGATCTCCTTCTCCTGGTGTCTCTTTCTTCAACTCACTTAGCGTGTGTTGCAACTGCATCGACTCGAACAACAGCTCTTGATTGATCTCCAACAACAGTGAAAACCTCTCCTGTTCGCGGGACTCGCTGCCGGGACTAAGGGGCGTCGATACCGACGATGTGCCATTTGCAGTCGCGTTCTGGTTATGTTGAGGGAATGTCGGGGTCTGAGGGGTCGTCACGGACGCGATGGAAGCCGAGTGCTGGTGCGCTGACGCCGCAGGAGTCTGGCCATGTGATTGAGGTTGCGATGTGGGATGGTGCTGCTGCTGTTGCTGTTGCGCGTGTTGTTGTTGTTGAGGCTGGTTTTGCTGATGTTGTTGTTGCTGTGCTTGCTGCTGTTGGTGTTGTTGCTGCTGCTGCTGCTGCTGCTGCTGCTGTTGGTGTTGGTGTTGTTGCTGTTGATGTTGAGCTTGTTGTTGCTGATGCTGTTGTTGCTGGTTTTGCGATTGTGGCGGCTGCTGTTGCTGACCCTGCTGTTGCTGGTGATGTTGCTGGTTCTGCTGGTGTTGCTGCTGAGGGTTCTGGGGATGTTGAGGTTGGTGCTGCTGATGCTGCTGTTGTTGCTGTTGCTGCATCGCATTGTTTGGAGAGCCTTGTCCACCTTGCGCCGCGCTCATCGGCCTCTGAGGTGTCGAGCCCAATTGCATGCCGCCTTGGTTTCCATGATTGCCTTGTCCCTGCCCTTGTTGGTGTTGTTGTTGTTGTTGTTGCTGCTGCTGCTGTTGTTGTTGTTGCTGCTGCTGGTGTGCCTGCTGCGCTTGCATGCGCTGCTGCATCATCATCTGCTGCTGTTGTTGAGGCGTCATGCCCGCCGCATTCATCGGGAAGCCTTGCATTCCTCCAAAGTTGGGATGTTGACCGCCCGGCGCGGGCATGTTGCCGCCGTATGGATTGCCCTGGTAAGGGTTTTGGAAGCCCACTGGTAGAGACATTGATGTTAGCAAACGCGTGTTCCCATGGATTGATGCTGGAAGATGCTGTGGTGCCATGTCGTTTGGCGGGTGTCCGTTGACGATGATGATGACTATGGTGACGGAGTGACTGCAAGACAGACGCGATCTCGTGGCACCACGATCTTTGTCTCGATCATCGACGGGCAATACATGCTGCCACGAGGCAGCATCAGAGGGCGTGACGCAGATACGAGACTCTCTGACCGATGGCGAGACGTGGACACACACACGGGCAAAGACAGGGCAAGGAAGGGGGGAGCTCACTCTGACCATTGGCAGCCATGTGTGGCATGCCGGCGTTCTGCATCATGCCTGCAGGGCCAGCGCCCGACATCATGGCGGGATTGGGACCGCCGACGAAGCCGGGCTGGCCTCCAGGCATACCAGCGAATTGATTAGGGTTGTACATCATCTGCTGGCCCGGCTGGGTTGGGACAGAGCCTGGCTGCATGTGAGGGTTCTGGTTTGGAGGTGGGGCGCTGGTGTTGAAGTTCGGAGGGACATTGGAGAAGCCGTAGCCGGGAGCGTACATGGCTGGGACGGGATGGGATAGGATGGGCGCGGAGCTATTATTATTATTATGGTTTTGGGGGGACGGGGCTTGCTTGACGCGATGGTCCCAAGGAACAGGTTGAACGGGGGGGTCCCAAGGGGCCTAGTCGAGAAGAGCGTGTGAGCGTGTATCCGTACGGATAAGGTACTGTAGCAATAGACTCGGGCTTGAGACTCGGTCAGACACGGGCTGGCTGGCTGGCTGGTTCGCTTGTTGTCTCGCGCTTGGCTGGGTTGGACTGGGTTGGCCTAAACTGGGCGGAGGAGGTGAGGGAGAGGCGCGGCCGCAGCGGGCGGGCGACGTTTCGTCAAGTCGATCGCAACAAGAGAGAAGAACGGCGGGCGGGCGGCGGGGAGTGCGTGGAGTAAAGCGAGGTGGTCCTGGCCTGTCCGGGCCGCAGGTTTGTTAGGCTGGCGGGATGACTGGCTCGTTTGCTTGCTGCTTGACGTGCGTGATGAGCGGTGGGGGACAGGGGTTGTATCGTCCGGCGTCAATGGGCTGGCTTGTCTCTTCGATAGACTGTGAGCGAACTGACAGCCAGACTCTTTGGCCTATGAGCGGATTGAATCGGCTTGCGACTTGCCAATGATGGATGTATTTCGTATTAGGGTACAACCATGCATACGGAACGAATCCAGCAGTTCCTGTCTCTGCACTCGGGGGTACCTGGCTGTTTGGTATGGCGTAGCGGTATAAGGTACCTGGGGGCTGGGATGAGGCCGGCCCTATTTGTCTCGGTCTCGTCCGTACTCGTCCACTACCTTAGGTAAACCTCTCAGTAGGTACAGTAGGGAAGTAGAGGGAAGTAGAGCACACGGGGGTGTGAGAATGTGGAAATCAGGGGTCCAAAGTGAATGAGATGGGTACGGTGAGAAAGGGTGAAGGGCTTGGTACGGGTAATGGGTGGGAGATGACGTGGAGTGATGGGGCGCCAGATGAGAGGTTGCCAGTGAGAGATGAGGCAGGAAGGGATTGTGAGAAGCGTATCCGTAATTGCTCGATGATTGACAATGTCCAATCTGGTAAAGAAGGAGCCAAGGAGCGTCCCAAAAAGTGCCACAGCGCGGGCCGGTGAGACAAGACTAGAGCAAGCAGATGGCAATCGGGTGGTGGTCTGCGCCGGGCTGCCACTTGAATCAGGAACGACGCCGAGCTGGATAAGGTACGGAGTATCCGTAAGGTAGGCAAGCTGGCAAGGTCCCACGCGGTAGGTACCTTTTTAGAAAGTAAAGGTAAGATGGAAGGATACGCGGAGAGCGGAAGGGGTGGGTGACTGGTGCAAGACGGCACGGTAGGGTGCGGTTGGAAGCGAAGGGACAGGACGCAAAGCAACCCTTTGCGTACGTTTGACACGACGACAGGACAACAGAAAGGACCTCAGATGCGGCCTTGGTGTGAGTGACGGCGGGCGTGGAGCATCAAGCGGAGAGAGAGAGAGGTAAGGTAAGGTACGGATAGGAAGGCCAGGCGTGGAACGGCACGGCACGGTATCGGTGTGTCGGTGTGCGGTAAGGCAAGGTGAGATGAGGTAAAGGTGAGAGCGGGTGTGGCGGCGCGGCGGTAACCTTGTCTAGAGTTCCAGTCCAGTTGCGATCCGGCGATTAATATTGTCTGGGTGTGTGTGAGAAATGAGGGAGCCGCGTGTGTGAGGGAGCGAGCGAGCGAGATATCGGGGTGTCGGTGTGTAGTGTTGTGTGAGGTGTCAACCAGGCATTCATAGGCAAGAGGGACGTGGAAAGGCAGAAACAGAATTTTCCTGCGTTGCTTTTCCACATGGGCCCTGGGGGGAGCTTGAGAAACGGCGGGGCGTTCTGGGAAGGGGGGAGGGGGGCACGCGCCGGGGTCATTGGAAACCTGTTGCGAACCTGCGCTTGGAACTCAGAAGGTGCGAAAGGTGGCCAGTACGTACCTCGGGACGTTATTCGAGCAGTCGAAGAGCCGAGGCGAAACTGCCCTTTGATTGGACTAAAGCGAAGACTCCACTTCAACATGACAGGGGTGTGCCTGCAGCCGACAAGGGTCATGTCTCCCCTCCCCTTCCTCAAACTTCTTAAGAATAATGGAAGGCATGATTGAATCAATTACCTACCGGTACCTTGTACCCGTACCTTTGTTGATGCTCGCGAATCTGATTAGCAGAGAGCATTCATCCTGCAAGTAAGAGACTAGCATCATTCAAAGTCAAACTGGGAAGATTGAGAATCGCTTTGCAGTGATGTGATATCGCACCTCTGAATACGTCTAAATGTCGAGACTAGGAAGGTGTCTGCCGCTAGACGAAGCACCTCGCATGGTCTGGCATCGCAGTACCTGCTGGAGCCTTGAAGTACCTAGTATTTCACCGAAAGCTAAGTAGACGCCCTGATGCCAGGTCAGGGACCAGGCCAAATGGACCTTCCTACAGTTCCTAGACTTCCTTGTATTTCCTACCATTACATGCCGACTCTTGTTCTCTCAAGACAGACATTCTAAAGGCTTCATTCCATTATCCCTTAATCTTACCTCCAACATGGCCACCAGCCCATGGATCCTTCAAGCATAAACCCCACCCAACAGTAGCTGGCCGGATACGAGGCCCTCACGACGTATATGTTGTCCCGTACGTCGAGTTGCCGTACACAACGTCGATGAAGTTCTGCGCTATAATCTCATCTTTCGATATCACTTACGTTAGCCCAACATCCATACAAAAAGAAGAGCCCGCTAAACACTCTAGACTTACCCGCACGTTCCGAAGGATGCAACTCGTCATACCACAAAAAGCTCGACTTGGCCTCCGACGAGTCAACGCAGGCCCTAGTCACCGCATCGCAGGTCCGGTACGGTGCCGTCACGTTCGCAGGCGACGATAAGTAACTCGAGGGGTCGTCGTGGACGTCCCGCAGCAGAGAGTGCACGTCAAAGATTGAAAAGCTCGCCCCGGGCCAGCGCTTCTTGACGAGCAGGTGGAACGGCGCGCCGTAGTCAAACATGGTGTTGACGCTGGTGCTGTACTCGAGCATCTTGAACTCAGTCTCCGTCGTATTGTACGCCGTCTTGTTGGTCCAGAACTGGCTGTTCCCGAACCCGCTTTTCCCCGGTCCCGTCGCGGCGTACAGCGGCGACTGCTCCAGTGGTGCGATGTTCAAGAGGACAAAGTGGCGCCCGCCCGTCTCGTAGACGTTGTCGAAGACCTCCCAGATGCAGTCCACGTAGCTGGAGATGGTCGTGCCGGCGGCGTTGGTGTCGGTGAGGAACGCGCCGTAGCCCAGGTCGTTTGTGCCGATCCAGAGCGCGTAGACCGTGTTGTCCGCCTTTCTGTTCGGATAGAGCGTCTCAAAGGCCGTGTCAGCCTTGTACGCCGGTATCTCGTAGTCGAGCACGGATGGAAACGGCTGCTTGATGGCTGCGAAGTCGCGCGATATGATCTTGTTGGAGCAGGTGGCGCCGCTGACGGCGTAGCCGTAGTAGTTCGCTCCCGTCGAGTTGGCCGCGATCCGGCCCCAGGCATAGCCGCCGCTCGCAGTCGAGTTGCTCGGCGGTAGCAGAGTGCCGGCCGGGGGAGCCGTGCCGTTGTTGTTGATAAAATACGAGAGCCGACCTTCGTCGGTGTAGCTGTCGCCGAAGGCCACTAGGTTCTCGAACTTTTTCAGACCGCATTGGGAGGCCGTAGCCACCGAGGCTAGAGCTGCGACGACGAGGGGGAGCATAACGGCGGTAAGAGACTCGCAGGGCGAAAACACTCCGCCGGGCAGACACTTTCGAAAGGTCAGGAAGGGCAGCGGGGACCAGAATAAGCAACCGCCATAGCTTCGGTATCTGGGGATTGATGTTCATATAGCTCTCACCCATGGCTTGACCCCCATAGCCTCACATTCTTGCGTCATGATGGGCCATAGGTCCTTTCATCCGGGACACTAGGATCGGGAGGGGCGGGGGAAGCTCGACCGATTCAGAGACGGACGAAGAATGGCCGCCTATGAAATGGGCCGGATCGTAGGTAGTAGGAGCTTTCCCCCCGCGTACAGGGCGGGAGAGCGGTGACGAACCCGCGTGATGCGGAGTTCGGTAGAAGAGATATCAAATATCTGTAATTTCCCCAGATCCCATCATCATCATGGATGAGGGGTAAGTTGGGGAAAACATATCCTCGAGCTCCATACCCGTCACATCGGTCCAGCACTAGCCTGGTTCTGTCGAGCTGCCGACGCGAGGAGCTACGGCCGGCAAGTGAGGCGCGAAGTTGGAAATGCTTCTTGATCCTTGGAGAATGGGTCGGGGAGCTGTTTGGCTCGTTCGTCATGCAAACCAGGGATACTACATAGGTTGTGCGGGGTTTCCTGTTTGTTTCTCTCCTACCTACCGACATGGACATCCGACATTGCCGTAATTCAAGAAAAAAAAAAGCTGGCTTGGAATTGGACCAGACCCGTGGTGTTGGCGTGCTCGTCTGTATTCAGGCTGAATGCAGGCGATGGCAGTTGACCCGCGACCCCGGGCCAGGAGCGGGGCATAAGTCCGGGTTGGTCAGTGGTAAGATCAAGATGCATGCTCAATCTAGTGACATTGGCCCCCAAAGACGAATTGGATCGAAATGCTAAGACTCGGCTGTGTAAGTCTGGTGAAGATCACAGAATGCCGCCCGTTGAAAACGAGGATGAAGCTGACTTGGGAATCCGAATAAGCTTTTGAGTTAGCCTGAGAGCATACTTGAGCATGCATTCATTCAACTGCATAATTGCGTGGGGAGGGGAACCTAAGTGCTTATTCTCTATGCAGTCCATTTGATATCAGAATTGCGGCTCTATGGAAAGCCTGGAACGATAAGAAGCAGAACGAATCAGTACTCACTTAAGGTCGTCTGCGAACATTGACTTGCGGCTTGAAATCATCAATCGGCTTCATCACTTCAGACTTTGCTCCATGTGCCGCGTTGGAATCGAGCCGATGCCGAGCTAGACGGCTTCGGAGTGCCTGTTTTAAGCCGAGATTACAACGGATCACGATCAGGATTCCTACAGTTTCTACGCGCAAGTGTTGCCCCGATCTGCGCTGAGCCCTGTGGGCATCTCAGAAATCGATTTTTTTCGGATGAATGACAGAGGCAACATATCGAACCTCATTGGCCAATTGCCATTCCCTGATGACCCGCTTTGGCCCGGGCAGGTGCCGACGTATGGCTCCGGGGTCGGCGGGCCCAGCTGTCGGAACCCAGTTACAGTAGCCGAGAGTTGACTCAACCCGACGTCGATTATCGTACTCAAGTGAGAGCGAAACTGGTGATATAAGGATTCACTCCGCTTCAGTATCCTCACAGCATCTGACCAGAATAGACTCTCCAGATACCCAAGCCACAATGTCGCCTTTTAACCTCGAAACGTGTGCGCGCCCGAATATTCTAGCCCTCGAGCCTTATCGCTGCGCAAGAGAGTAAGTTTCTCTCACTCGCCAAAAAAGCTCACTCACAAGACTCTCATAAACATTGCCCATCTCTGACATCACTCTCCAGCGACTACAAAGATGACGGCACAAACGTCCTCCTCGACGCAAACGAAAACGCCTACGGGCCCTCGCTGCAGTCCGACTTCGAGGCCGGCAACCTAGGCATCGACTTCAAAGGCCTGAACCGCTACCCGGACCCTCACCAACCGGAACTCAAGCAGCTCCTCTGCCGCCTGCGCAACACCCACACCCACACGGCAAAGGACCTCGCCCCCGCGAACCTCTTTGTCGGCGTCGGCAGCGACGAGGCCATCGACGCCCTGCTGCGCTGCTTCTGCGCCCCCGGCAAGGACCGCATCCTGACGTGCCCGCCCACCTACGGCATGTACTCCGTCTCGGCGCAGATCAACGACGTGAGCATCGTCAAGGTCCCGCTGAAGGCCGCCCCCGAATTCGGCATGGACACGGACGGCATCCTCGCCGCGCTGAGCGAGCCGGACAACAACATCAAGCTCGTGTACCTCTGCACCCCCGGGAACCCGACGGGATCCGTGCTAGCGAAGGAGGACGTCCAGCGCGTGCTGGAGCACCCGACGTGGAACGGCATCGTCGTCCTCGACGAGGCCTACATCGACTTCGCGCCCGAGGGCAGCTCCATGGCCGAGTGGGTGCTCGAGTGGCCCAACCTCGTCGTGATGCAGACCCTCTCCAAGGCGTTCGGCATGGCGGGCATCCGCCTCGGCGCCGCGTTCGCTTCCCCGCCCGTCGCGCGCCTGCTCAACGCCATGAAAGCGCCGTATAACATCTCCACGCCGACCAGCGCGCTCGCGCAGTACGCCGTCTCCGACAAGGGGTTGGCCGTCATGCGGGATAACCGCGCCAAGATCCTGACGCAGCGGGACCGTATTATTGCCGAGCTTCCCCGGGTACCTGGCGTCGGCAGGTTGCGCGGCGGCACGGAGAGTAACTTTTTGTTGTACGAGATGCTGGACGCGGCGGGCCAGCCGGACAACGTCACGGCGTTGGCCGTGTACGAGCGCCTCGCGGAGAACAAGGGCGTCGTGGTGCGGTTCCGCGGTAAGGAGCACGGCTGTCTTGGGTGTTTGAGAATCACGATTGGTACCGAGGACGAGGTCACGAGGTTCCTTGCCTCCATTGCCAAGGTTCTGGCCGAGGTGCGCGGAGCTGCGCGGCAGCCGGACGAGGAGAAGAAGGAGGCGGCGGCGAACGGGGTGGTCGCATAGATGGGACTGGTTTATAACGAGGCATTGATAGATGATGGGACGACGGCCAAATAAAAGTGTTTTATATAGCATTGAACGTATTCGGTCGGGGCGATGGGACGGTGGGAAATCATATGGAGGCATAAAGATTAGACATTTATGCCTTAACCCAAGTTTTCTCTCTCTGATGAATTCGTAATCAA